GTAAGGAGTAGTTCTGGTCTTGTCGTCCCTCTCAAGGTCATATGTACTGTTTTTCTATTTTTTTCTAATTGATATAAGCCCTTCGTTTCTCATTCTTCTCTTTCTCTCTCTCTCACTACCTCTTTTTCTTTCTCTCCCTCACTCTTTCTCTCTCCCATCCCTCTCTCTTTCCTCTCCTCTTTTCCCTCCCTTTCTCTCCCCCTCCCTCCCTCTCTCTCTCTCTTGCTCTCCTCTCCTCTCCTCTCTCCTCTCTCTCCTCTCTCCTCTCTCCTCTCTCTCTTTCCTCTCTCTCTCTCTCTCTCTCTCACTCTCTCTCCTCTCTCTCTCTCCTCTCTCTCTTCCTCTCTCTCTCTCCTTCTCTTGCGTCTCTCTCTCTCTCTCTCCTGTAAGTGGTACTGACTGTCTAACAGACCACCAAAACGCGCAAAACTCGCCCCAGTGAATAGATAATTATTCTATTGCTGTAACCTACATTATGCTCGCTCAACTGTTTAAATTATTAATGCAACCATAACATGTATACATTATTATGATTATTAGTACGTTTTATTTATTCATTAATTATCATTTATCAATTATCATAATATCCATTATTATCATATATAATATACCATTATCATTACTATATTTATCCTTTTTGGTCTATTGCTTTATTTCATTATCATTTATCATTTTATAGTCAGTAAGTCCAAGTAGTATAGTCAGTAATACATCAAGATATTTCAATATATGATTATTATCTCATATACTACAATACTAAATAATTACTATATTATAAAACTCTACTTATCCTTACCTTTACCATTATTCATCTTGCTCTACTGCTTATCCATATTATCCTATTATTATTACCCTTGAACATCACCCTTAACTCATCTGTATCTTTATTGTTGTTAATCAGTTGCGCCCATAGTAATGAGCGAAACCGTAATTGCAATTGTCTTTTAAATGAACTGCCCAAACTTGTCCTTTCCAAGACTGCACGTTCACACTTAAATCCATTCCGTGCCCACACCTACACGGGCTCTATTAGCATCACATCGTAATATGGAATAATATATGTTGTGCTTGCTTAAATCAATTGCCGCCTGATGGCATCCTCTCCCTTTCTGCCAATATCCTCTACTTATCAACAGCAACAATAACACATTTTCATCGCGTTAAGCAGTCCAATAGAGAGCGCGTTTATAATTTTCCTTCGTCTGCTGCTTTGCTCATAATTGTCTGTCTACCATCTTTCACAGCATCGCATCCCAGTTCTATCATATAATTCATAATCACAGGTTAGACCAAGGACCTATATAAAACACTAACACATGGATTATTACACTAGTCTCGACTCGCGATCCGTCGCCCACCTCCCTCAGTCAACGAGCAGTACCTGCTGCTCTGGTCTGCCGCTGTACAGTAGCAGCTCTCGTCTAGCAATCTTGACTGACACCCTCGCGTTCCTCCCGATCTCCCCTTATTCAACCTCAGCCAGGAATAGGAGTCCCAAAACCCCAGGACCCCATATCCTCGCACCACAAGCGAGACAGTAAGTTTACAAAGAAAGACACCAATAAACCAGACAAAACGCCACCCAAGTTGCACTGCATGTCACAAGAGACCAGGTTCACCCAGCAAAACCCCTAAATTATTATCATCAATATATTCTCTATCACCCTCGCACTGGTTCTGAAAGAAATACTGAATCTCGCACAAGTGGCCTGGGCGTCCTCCCCTTTCATTCACCTGCGCCCTCAACCCGATCCTGCTCGGCCTGAAAGTGCTACTTCAGCTCCGCACCGTCGCTGACTTCACCATCCTTCTGGTTCTTCGGCGCGTGCTGCTGTTGCTGCTGCTGCTGCTGCTGTGCTCCAAGGAAGCGTGGACGGCGTCCTCTCGAGGGAGAGCGGGAGGTCGAGACGCTGGAACACATGCCAGTCACGAGGCTGCCTCGAGGGCCGGTACGTCTCTGGGATTCGAAACGCGTCTGCGGCAAAGCAGTGTCAGGTTCTGGAGGCCCGCGGCGCACACCTCGTCCATGCAAGCGGGCTCATTCGTCGCCCTCCTGCATCGTCCTGTCGCCAGCCAGTGTTGAGAGAGCAGCAACCGAAAAGCGGCGCAGAGAATGAGCTCGCTCGACCGACGGCTTCGAGTCCTCGCTCGAGCTCCTCTCCGAAACCTGGGCGGAAGCATTTTGACTTCCTTCGAACTGCGTGGAAATGACTGCCTGGGCTTCGTGGCTGTTAGGACGCTTGGGCCCCTGTGCGTGTGGCAACTTGTGGAAATATTATCTTGTGTCAGTTTGCTTGATAACCTCACATAGGTGTGTCCTTTTTATGGAGGGCGTTAGATTATATATCTGTTTTTTTCATTTACTCGACGCCTGCAAGCCCTCATACACGCAAACTTAGAACCGTCGGACGGGAAAGACGCTTGCAAAAACCGCAGTCCAGTTTCGCCGTGTATTCACGTAATCTGAATTGGTTTTGCACTCGACATAGACCGACTTCAGACTGTTTCCTGAAATCCGACCGCGGTTCTTGAAGACAGAAGTGAAATGTGGCCG